GTCAAGTCTGTCTCATATAAGTGTCTGGTTCTCCATTGTTGCTGCTCCTGATCTCATCTAAATCCCAGTCTGAGAGGCACAGGAACCTCTGACCCTGAAAGTCATGTGCCGCATTCTCTGCTTCTTCCTTATTGGTAAGGAAATTCCAACTTCTGTGGCTAAGTCCGCTCAATTTAAACCTGGCGGGATGTCCCAGTTGGCCAATCCCATCATGATAGTCTTCACACCCTATTTGCATGTCCCACCATGTCAAGGGGCAAAGTTTAAAGGCAATGGACTTGATGTTAGGTGCCATGAGTCCATTATGACTCATCCTGGCTGTGAATGACAGATCTGGACCTTACCCTATCTCACACCATCACCATGATCTCCATTATGCTCAAGTCCATGTCAATCTGTGTATTTGACTACACTGTGACAGTTCATCTCATTGAAGGTCTCTTCTCATCCACCCACTCTCTGCCTTTCCCAGCATGATGTCTGTTTCCAAGATCTATCCCTTCTTAATTACATATCCAAAGAATGTGAGATGAAGTTTCACCATTCTTACTTTTAAAAAGCACCCTGGTTGTACCTCCTCCAGGTACAGATCTGTTAGTTCTGTTGGCAGCCCATGGTGTATTAAATACTCTTGGCCATCAACATAATTCAAAGGCATTGATTGCTCTTAGGTCTTCCTTACTCATTACCTAACTTTCAGAAGCACACAAAGCAACAGAAAATACCATGGCTTCGGTTAGGCACACTTTAATCTTTAAACTGACATCCTTGACCTTTAGAACTTTTGAGAGGTCTTTAACAGCAAGTTTTCTAGTGGTGAGGATTTTTGTTTTCTTGATGTTGAGATGTAATTCAGTTTCAAAACTGTGTTGTTGTTGTTATGTGCTGTGGAGTCGCTTGTGACTCATAGCAACCTGATGTACAACAGCACTAAACTCTGCTCTGTCCTGTCTCTGATACACCCATTCCGATTACCCCAGTCACTGAATCAATCCACCTCATAGAGGGCCTTCCCCTCCTGCGCTGTCCCTCCACCCTACCAAGCATGATGTCCCTCTCCAAGGACCAGTCCCTCCTTACAACATGTCCAAAGTATGTTAGACAGAGCCTCAGAATCCTTGCCTCCAAGGAGCAGCCTGGTTTAACCCTCTACAGGATGAATCTGTTTGTTTTCCTAGCAGTCCATGGTATTCTCAATACTTTTCTCCAACACCACAGCTCAAAGGCATCAATTCTCCTTCTATCCTCCTTGGTCATTGTCCAATTTTCTGATGCATAACAAGTGATTGCAAAGACCATGGCCTGTATCAGACACACCTTAGTCTCCAGAGAGACACCATTGCTCTTCAGTACTTTGGAGAGGTCCCTAACGGCAGACTTTCTCATCGCAATACATCTTTTAATTTCCTGGCTACTGGTGCCGAGAATGTTGACTGTGGAGCCAAGCAAACTAAAGCTGTGAACAATCTCAAGCTCTCCACCATCCGTCCTGATGCTGCAGTCTTTGATATTTTGCAGTAAGCACTGCAAGTCATCTTCACTCTCAGCAAAGCTGTATACCCGCATCATCTGGATAATGCATGTTGATGAAGCTGTCTCTAATCCTGATGCCTCATTTTCCTCCATGTAGCCCAGCTTCTTGAGTGGTTTGCTTAGCATACAGATTGAATAAAGAAAGGATATAATCCTGATGCACATGTTTCAGAAAGTTATTTGAAAGCATGCAGTAGTCCCTTATTCTGTTTGGACAACTTCCTTCTAGGTCTGCGTATAGATTTCCCATAGCACAATTAAGTGTTCTGGGGTTCTCATTTTTCTCAATGTGGGAAGCCAAATATCAAACTAAATATTATTCTAAGTGATAAACCAAATGCTTTATCAGGATTTGAGAGAGGTGCAAATACAAGCTGGAATTCCTCCTGGGACAGATCACAGGTGTCAAGTGCCAAGGCAGACCTTAAGGCATCTTCACAAATCTTGGATTGTATTTATAAACCCCTCCCTCCTGAGTCAAGCTAAGGTTGTCAATTCAAAGAGCCTAGCTTCATTTACATAGAATTATCTTTGGGATTTGTTCCCTGGCACATCTCAATAAAGTTACAGAGCGAAGCTCTGGTGGCCTAGTGGAAAGAAGCTGTACTGCAGGTACACAGTTTGAATCCACAGATGCTCTCCTGGAGAAGGAGGGGCAATCTCCTCCTGTACCAGTCAGATCCAATTTGATGGTACACACATAAAAAAAACCAAAATAAAATTTAAAAAGTTACAGAGAAGCATGGTTCAGAGCTTCAGTCTTTGGGCTATTCACCCCCTGCCTTTACGCTTTCTGTTTTTTTCTATTCTTGGTGTTCCCATCTCGCTATTTTTCTTAGTCCCGGATGACATTTCAATGTTAGCCATATTTTTTGTAATGGCCTATACAGTCAAATGTCTTTGCATAGTCTATAAAACATAAGTAAACATCTTTCTGGTTTCTGTGCTCTCGGTCAAGAGCCATCTGACATTAGCAATGATATCCCTTATTCTGTTTTCTGAATAAAAGCAAAGTATTATAATGAAATGTATAAAAAACTGGAGTTAGAATACCAAAAGGGAAGAATATGCTTAGCATTTCTCAAGATGGAGTAATTGAAGAACCAATTCAAGTCTCAAGTCGTAATACGAATGGTTCTGTAGGCAAAATAGTAAATTATTAAGGAAGCATCAAAGATAATAGAAGGAATACTCAGAGTCACTGGACCAAAAAGAAAGGCATTTTGAATAATAAAGACCACATCTTGAAAGGAAGGAGCCTTGGTAGTGCAGTAGTAGAGGGCTTGCCCTTTAACCGAAAGGTTGATGATTCAAAACCACCAGCTGCTCTAGGGACAAAGATGTGGCAGTCTAGTCTGCTTTCATAAAGATTTCCAGCTTTCAAAATCCTGTAGAGCAAATCTACTCTATTCTACAGAGTTGGCCCAAATCTGATTTGACAGCAGTAGATTATCTTGTAAGGCACAGGACTACCACTGAACCAGGGAGTGGCAGGAACATCTTTGTACTTTAGAATGGCTTGTGAGGAAAGGTTAGTAAAAAGAACCCTCGTATGCCATGGGGCCAGGAATATGCACGGAACCTAGCACTTATAGACTGGAGCACTGACAGGTCCTTTAAAGTAACTTCTTAGGAGGCTTTTCTCATCAGCCTGCCTTCTCAAGTCTCTGTAAGTCCATGAGACTACCTGCCCATCACCAGAGGCTAAAGAGCAGTAGATAAATGTGATAAATGATTAGGAGATGAAATTAATAAGATATACTAGGGGAGCTCTGGTGGCCTAGTGGCAAGAAACTGCAACTACAATCCCAGAGGTGAACGGTTCAAATCCACCAGATGCTCTGCCGGTGAAGGAGGGGCCATCTCTTCCTGTACCAGTCAGATCTGATTTGACGGTACACGCACACAAAAATAATAAAATAAAATTAAAAAAAAATGTAAAAAAAAAATAATAAGATATGCTAGAGATTGAATAGAAGGATGAGTGGCTCAAGGAGGCGCCCAACTCAGCTTTCTGACTTGAGGCCACTGAGTAATGGTGTATCCTTCATTGAAATAATGAAAATGTGAAGGGGAGGGGACTGGTTAGGGAAAGTAAAGTGAGGAGTTTCAGTTGAGATTTGGTGACTCTGAGGTACCCCCAAGACATTGATGTGAATGCATTCAGAAGTCTGTTAGATATACAGGTTGGAAGTTTAGAAGGAAGAACAAAGTTAGAGCTACAGATTGAGAATCATTAGCAAATAAATGGTAAGAGAAGTGGGTGAAATCATCCCAGGAGAGGGACCAGGGTGAGACAAGAGTCTACAGCAAAACTCCAGAGAACTCTTAAAGGATTAAATGAAGGAAAAAGTTGCAGAGGAGATGAGGGTAGGCCCAAGAGGCAGCAGGAAACACATCTCCCACAGATCCCAGAAGTTCAGGGAAACCAGTTCAAGAGAAGAGACAAACCAGGAATACAAGGTTCAGCACAGGAGGGCTGCGGTGACCTTGTGGAGAGCCTGATGGGGACAGCACCAGATTGCAGCCGATTGAGGAGTGAGTGGGAGGGCGAGGGAGTGGAGGCAGCTGGCATAGGCATTTTTTCAAGATGTTTGGTCACCAAGGGAGATACTGGTGGTGATCTGAGAAAGAAATAGAATTGAAGGGATCTTTTCTGTACTAACAGAAGAAGTGGAAACAAATAACGCAAAGCAAAAGAGATAATGAGCGCAGCCTTCAGAGTGATGGACCCGGGGTGGGGGTGGGGGTACAGACGTCCTTTCAAGAGGAAGGACCTACTTGTAGTTCTTCTAGTTCTAACTGGCTGGAAGGAGGGAAGGAGGTTTGGAAGACTGAGACTGGGCAGACAAATGGGTCCTATTTCCTCTTGGAAGTTGGAAGAAGCCAGGCCAACAGCAAGGAGTGTGCTCGGTGAACAGACTCGCTCAGCTGGTCCAAGACCAGGGCTGCCAACAGGGCAGGTGAAGTCACCGCACTCGGGGCGAGAGGCTGGTGGGAAGGCAGTCGAGGCTGAAGCTTTCAAATGGACAAGATAAAGCTGACTTAAAGGAAATGTGATGTTCCTCTGGCCATGGGGAAGGCGGCATGCAGTCCAAGAGAGAAGGTTCCAGAATCTCATGCTGGGGCTCGCCTTATAGGCTGCCCCTTTCCTCTTTGGGCCGCCCTGGCGCTCCCTGCCTGGGCCTCACGTCCAAGGCCTCAGAGCCGCCTCGTCCCCACCGATGACCAGCTGGAAGCCATTTTGATTCTGCTCCACCACCGAAGGACAATACCGCCCCGCCCCGAGCCAGGCGCGCCCCCGCGGCGGCCCGGGTGCGCGTGTCCGCGCCGCTTCCCGCCGGCAGGGCGGGCGCCGGGCCCAGAGGCGGGCGCGGCGGGGCGGGGACAGGGCTGGTTATGTAAGCGCTGCGCGCTCCCGCGACGCGGGAGCCAATGAGCGGCGGCGGCGCCTCGTGCTCGCGCACGCAAGGAGGGGGGAGGAGCGCATGACGTGCGCGCGCCCTCCTCCTCCTCCTCCACCGCTGCCGCCTCCTTCTTCTACCGCTCCTGGTGCTGCCTGTGCGCTCGTTCGGTGCGGACCTGGTATCTCTTTTGTGAAGCGGCTGCCCAGGAGACTCCGGCGCTCGCCATGGCCGACGAGAAACCCAAGGTAAGCTCGCCGCCAGCTTCCGCCTCGCCGCGCGGCCGGGGTCGGGCGCCCTGCGCGGTCCGGCCCGAGCTCGCCGCGGGCTCCCG